CAATATAAAGATCAGAGCATTCCTCCCTGCATTGAACTGCAAACACTCTGCTCAGATTTAGTCTGAGATTTGGTCTTTAGGATATTTAATTAATCTCATCTAATATCGATTGGAAGACGTTAAATAGCATTAAACATTATTGTGTCGTTTTATGGAAGAAACTTACCCTTAGTTGCTGCTTACATCAAGAGTTTCACTTTTTTATCTGTTTACCTTCCGCAAAGTTTTATATATGCATTAAACTAGTTTGCAAACAGCAGAGGTGTCAAAGTCTTAATGTTTATTCCTCCAGCATAAATCCTGCTGTTTACAAACACTTTTGTAGAAGTTAGAGGATCAAATTCAGCTTTTTAGTCCAGTAAAGTGTAAAAGTACCAAATTTTAAAAACTACTAAAAGTTTTAAAACTACTTAAAGTAAAAGTAATGAAGGAAAAATGTTAGGGAAAGAAGCTTTAAAACTTATACTGGTAGTACGGAAGACAATTAGGGCCACTGAGCAAAAATAAAAAATGGTTAACTGATTTTTATTATTATGTTTTGGTTTAATATGGGGGGAAAAAGTCAAAATTAGGACTTTAATCTCAGGATTCTGGTTATTTGTCCCATATTTAACTGAAATGAAATAAAAAAATCTGTTAACTTTTCCAATTTATTTCAGTGGCCTTAATCGTCTTCCGTAGGTTACTGCACTACCCTGTTAAAGGAGCATTTTCCTACAATTCTGAATGATAGCTTCCCCAGACTTAATCTTCTTTGTTTTATAACTAATGGTAAGTGTCACATTTAACTTTGCATCATATTGAAAAACTATTTATTTTGGTTTGTGGTGAGCAACAAGTTGGGGCAGCACCGAGTCCAACCACAAAGAAATTACCGGTAATTGTCTGGATAACACTAATATTTTTATGGTTTTTAATAATTTTTAAACACCAACAGGCCAAAATAGAAATGAGCTTAAATGAAACCAAACTAAGGAGTCTATTTTTAAAATGTAAGGAGTAGAAGGAAAAAGTTGTCTAAAAAATATTTACTGTAGTAAATTATAGACAGCATTAGTACTGAAGGAAACAAAGTATTTGTACTTTGTTAGTTGACGCCTCTGGCCAACATCAGCTGTAAAAAAAAATAAATAAATAAATAAATCGTGTCATAATCTTCTTACTGAGGAAACACAAAAACATTATTTCCATGAAATCCTAAATGCAGCAACAGATGGTAGCGAGCTGACTGGTGCATGGCTGCCCCCTACTGGCCATAGTGGAAAATAACATGCATTCATGCAACAGCTTCACCTCTGAGGGGCCGGAGGGACTAAACAGATATGGGCAAAACTTTTCATTGAAGGAAAAAAAAAAAAAAAGCTTCTTGCTGATGATGTTTGGCTAAAAGCAGAACATGATGAACCAGCAGCACAGAAATAAAAACAAGCTCACGGCCGAGATGAATTAAGAGACGTTTCCAAGCAGAACATCACTTATTTCAGCCTAAAATAAACATGCTGTGCTGACGCCTGATTCACACCAAGCTTTTCTTGTTTGCTTTTCCTCTGAATTTCAAACAGAAGCTTAGAACTGAGGTATTTCTGGGAAAAGAGGCAAAACGGCTTCTGTTCATTGCAGGGGTCATTTGGTCATTAGTTAGGAAATAAAAATACAGTGTGAATGAGAGAGCCTGTCTGTGTGGGGGCAATGCACGGCATTCACATCCCTGTGAAAAACACTGAGCCATTCATGGTTAGACGCTCTCAGAGAGGAGCGGGCCCTGCTGGGACTGATGGGGGATGGAGGCTCAGGGGGCCGGCTGGGAGCATGGGGGAGGTGTAGGCAGAGGTGGGCCTTTTCCCTCAACTTTATTGTCACAGGGTCACAAACGGCGGCAGGCTGCCTGCTTTTTGCAACCAAATAACGACCTTTTACAGCCAGCATGAGGAGCACGCTCTAAAATACAGTTCAGCTTTTGCTTTGTTAACATGAACAACCAACTGTCTGGGATCTTCAATCGACACCAAGACAATGTAAATCCCTTTATTGTTCCGCAATGTGGAAACTCACTCTGCATTTAACACATCCCCATGTGGAGCAGTGGGCTGCCATTGGGCGGCATCCGAGGAGCAGTCTGGGGTTAAGGGTCTGGTTCAGGGACCCAGAGTGGAGGCTGTGGGGATCATAGCGGGTACCAGCAACCTTCTCAGGGCACAAGCACACTGCTCTAACCACTAGGCCATGATAAGGTCCAGAATCTGTTCAGTTACTTTGATCTTGGACCTTGGCTATGCCTGCCTCAAGAGCCATGTTGTTTTATTGTTGACGTTTGTCAAAAACGCTGCAAGATTTGGGGTATTGTGTCTTTGTTTTCTTTGTAGCTTCCCAGAGATTGAGGTTATAGTGTAAGTGGTACCAAATGAAAGCTAATTTAATTATCTTACATATGGTGCCAAACACGTTTACACCTGTGTAAATTTAACAAATTTTAATTAGTTTTGCTCCGATACTGATACCACTATCAGGTGGGGCTCCGATCCAGCACTAAAATGGTGGTATCGGTATTGGCGAGTCCCAACAAATACTGCAACGATACCATTTTGGGAGTCAAAAGGTTATTAAACTATTGTCACTGTTACATCCCCTAGCAGAGTCTAGGGGGTGTAAGGGACCAACATAAATTTAGACAGTGAATGAAGGAGTGAATAGGGCATTTTAAAAGTTTTATTCTGACATTTCTTTTGAATTAATTGATGGTAAAGGCTTCAGAGAGAGCCCAGGCCAAAATAACAAACAAAACAACCCTAACAAAAAGAAAAGTGGACTTACCTTACTCAATATGAAACCAAAATATACTAAACTACAATATAACCTACCTTACCAACACATAAACAGGAGAAAACTGGGGTTAAACAAAAAGGCAGCTCTCCCCTACAAAAAACATCCAAGCAGGTTTACATGGTAGCAATCTTAGCAGCCCATTAGATTAGATTAGATTCTACAATGAACACAGAGGTGTGTGGCAGACATATTACCCAGAGGCCCTGAAGCACTGCTTCACATGCCTTAAATAGTCCTCAGATGATTTTGATTGGCTGAGACTCAGGAAGCAGCAGCCACTCTTAAAGGCGGAGCCTAAAACACAGCAAGATGTTAATTGGATGCAAGAAAAAAGAACAACATCCATCATGGGGATGTAACAACCCCACCCATAAGAACAATTGCACACAATCACACGCTTGAGAGTGTGTCTGCTACCACAATGTCACATCTTTTTGTGCTTGATATCAATGTTAGAATTTTAAGTGATATAACAGTCACCCATTCCAGGTAGGCAATAAAACTACTGGATTCACTTTGTATTAGTCTTTTTCCTGCTCCACAAAGGCAGGCAGCAGCTTGACAAAGCCATGATGGCAATTATTTTACATCCAAGTAGTCTGCAGTTCTTCATATATACACACACACATCAATTACAAACAGAAGGTATCAGTGTGGTATCGGTATCGGCCAATACTGCACAGTCAGGTATCGAGTATTGGGGCCAAAAAATGGCATTGGCACAGCACAAACATACATATTTTTGATCCAAGAAAAGATTAAAGTTTTGATCAAGCTAGGTGTATATATATATATATATATATATATATATATATATATATATATATATATATATATATATATATATATATATATATATACTACCGTTCAAAGGTTTAGGGTTGGGGAAAAGTTGAGGGAAAAAATAGTAAACAAAGGCAGGAAT